TACTTTTATAAGTGCAAGTGTTCCAATCTGCATTTTACAATGTCTATACTTTGATGTCAAATTACAAGCTTAACAAAAATCTGACATATTTGCAATAAAGATGATATATTAAAATAAAGATGAGTGTAATGGCAAAACAAATATATAAGAAATAATTTATTTGCCATGAATTAAGTTTATGATATTTGAAGAAATGTGTGATCATGCCCCAGTCAGTGAAAGTGTGTTTCCTACCCCTAGACCCCAGAGGGTTAAGAAGGGGGACCTGAGGATGTGCTCCAACTATAAGGGGATCACACTCCTCAGCCTCCCTGGTAAGGTCTATTCGGGGGTTCTGGAGAGGAGGGTCCGCCGGATTGTTGAACCTCGGATTCAGGAGGAGCAGTGTGGTTTTCGCCCTGGTCGTGGAACAGTGGACCAGCTCTATACTCTCCACAGGGTTTTGGAGGGTTCAGGGGAGTTTGCCCAACCTCTACATGTGTTTTGTGGACTTGGAGAAGGCATTCGACCGTGTCCCTCGGGGAGTCCTGTGGGTGGTGCTCCGGGAGTATGGGGTGCCAGGCTTCCTTTTAAGGGCTGCTTGGTCCCTGTTTGACCGGTGCCAGAGCCTGGTCCACATGGGCAGAAATAAGTCGGACTCATTTCCAGTGTGGTTTGGACTCCGTCAGGGCTGCCCTTTGTCACCGATTCTGTTCATAGTTTTTATGGACAGAATTTCTAGGCGCAGCCAGGGCGTTGAGGGTGTCCGGTTTGGTGACCTCAGGATTAGGTCTCTGCTTTTTGCAGATGATGTGGTTCTGTTAGCCTCATCAGACCGTGACCTTCGACTCTCACCTGGACAGTTCGCAGCCGAGTGTGGAGCGGCTGGGATGAGAAAAATCAGCTCCAAACCCGAGACCATGGTCCTCAGCCGGAAAAGGGTAGAATGCTCTCTCCAGGTCTTCCGCCAAGTGGAGAAGTTTAAGTATCTCGGGGTCTTGTTCACAAGTGAGGGGACGATGGAGCGGGAGATCGACAGGCGGATTGGTGCGGCGTCCGCAGTGATGCGGGCGCTGCATCGGTCTGTCGTGGTGAAGAAAGAGCCAAAAGGCAAAGCTCTCAATTTACCAGTCGATCTACGTTCCTACCCTCACCTATGGTCACGAGCTGTGGGTAGTGACCGAAAGAACGAGATCGCAAGTGCAAGCGGCCGAAATGAGTTTCCTCCACAGGCTGGCTGGGCTCTCCCTTAGAGATAGGGTGAGGAGCTTTGTCATTCGGGAGGGACTCGGAGTCGCTGCTCCTCCGCATTGAGAGGAGCCAGATGAGGTGGCTCGGGCATTTGATTAGGATGCCTCCTGGACGCCTCCCTGGTGAGGTGTTCCGGGCATGTCCCACTGGGAGGAGGCCCCGGGGAAGACCCAGGACACGCTGGAGGGACTATGTCTCTTGGCTGGCCTGGTAACGCCTCGGGATTCCCCCAGAGGACGTGGATGAAGTGGCCAGGGAGAGGGAAGTTTGGGTTTCCCTGCTGAGACAGCTGCCCCCGCGACCCGACCTCAGATTAAGCAGGGGAAGATGGATGGATATATATATATAAGCAGTAAGATTCACACTGATATAAACATTATTTTTCTATATTGACTATACTGACAACTGGTTTCTTACCCCCCAGGTAAACCACTAATGATCATTACTGAATACATGAAGAATGGATCTTTAGATTCCTTCCTCAGGGTCAGTATTAATATTGTTTGACACACATATACACGTGAAATATAAAAAATGTCAACTTATTGTTTGTTAACATACTGCAGCAAAAGAAAACGGGTGACCTCTCACTTGTCACCAACTCGGGTGGTTTAGGCGTGAGGACGAGGCATGGTGCAGGCAGAAATTGAATGTGGACGACCCACTTGCGGCTTGCAGGGAAAAAGGGGTTTATTAACAAAGAGTAAAACACAAGAAAACACTTACAAAACAAAAGGACCACATGGAGTCAAAAGTAAACGGGAATAAACAAAGACTAATTACAACAAGGGGCAGGCAGGCAGGTAACAAAGAACACAGCATAAGACAACAAACGTCAATGATTCCAGTGGCCTGTACTACGAAGCGGGTTTACTGGCTAATCGGGGTAATGGCGAGTAACTTGATGACGTGTGATGTAACTTCGCGATTAACCCGTACTATGAAAGGTGGGTAGGTTTTAGTCGAGGCATGCTGCCATGGCAATTTACGCTAAGTCACAAAACTGCCCTGAGCAGTTTTTGTTCTTGGTTAAGTCGAGGTTTCTGCGTAAGCCAGCCCTATATGAGCACCGCCCCTCCAACTACACTTTCTCCGAAGACAATGCCAGTGTACCTGGATGATCCGTATAACATTGGTGCACGAATCGTGAGGGGCTCTCTCTGTTAATATGTATGAAATGGAGCAATGGCATATAATATGCATACAATGTATTAATTAATAACTGTTACAGAGAAAGTTATTCTGAAAACCCAAGGGGTGTGCAATGTTCCCTGTTGTCCACTGATCAAAGTACACTTCAATAGATGTGCCTGTCTTGTCTAGTTTTAAAGTTATTAACCCATTCATGTATTGTCTCATTGCACAGTATACGGATACATTCGAACATTCAAAAATTTATAAAAATTCGTATGTAAAGCAATCTGACAAACAAAGGGGTGTGCTCCATGAGCCCAAAATACTAAACCACCATGTCACTACAGCTGAAAGGACCAATTAAATTAGCTATTAACATGATTTGGCACAAATCACAAAATGTTTTGAAGCGGAAAAATAATCGGTGTGCATCGATGTCTGTGTACTGGACATCACAATTCTGTCATTAAAAACCTTAATAAAAAAAGACACCTTTTTATTATTAGCTGTAAAACATAGAAACATGCTATTAAGTGGAGGCTAGACACAACAAATCTTTCATAATGAATAGAAATATAAATACATAGCCCTACCACTTGACATGATGTTTTTATATTTTATCTTGACTTACTGCCACATACGCTTTCCTCTACTATTGCATTTGAAATCGGATCAGTTATTGTTAACATTAGGTTTACATTATGAGTAACATTACAGTAATGGAAGTTCAGGGAGCATTACATTACTTAGCAGCATATAATAGGTGACTTCTGAATTGTGTCGCATCTGTTAGCCTCTGTAATTATTAACAGTATTTCAATTCTTTTCAGAAAACACTTCATTGTCTAATACTCGGTCGTGAGATATTTTAGACTATGTTTTATGACCATGAAAATGTACGTATGCATTTTCTCCGTCGGCAATACGTTGCCAACAAGCCTACCTGCTTTTGTTGGCTGCAGTGGTATTGGACTTTCTTTACAGCGTTGATTTAAACTCCTCATAACCACTGCATAATTAGCATAGTTTCCTTCGTGAAACATGGAGATCGCGCCATGAGTCAAACGGTGCCTTGCACTGCTGAACGTGCTCCATTTATGTGAACGTGCACAAACTCCAATGCAGTTAACACCGATTTAACAAATCAAATTAACTGGTGTCGTAGTACTGATTAGCACCGATTGAGACAACCCGATTTTGTCAACCCCACGTTCGCAAATTACCTCTGGGTTAAGTCTGATTTGGTTAAATCCCCTTCGTAGTACAGGCCACAGGAAGAACAGAACAGGATCAGGAACTTAAATACAAAACTAAACCGGGTAACAACACAACAGGAGTGAGACAGACAATTAACCATCCGGGAGGGGGCAGGGCAACGAGCAATCAGGTAAACACAGAAAGGCAGGCACAAAAACAGGCAACAGCTGAAACTAACAATTACTCAGGGAACTCTAACAAAGAAACTAAGAAACAGTATCTACACTAGAAGAATAACAGATAGGTAAAAACACAAGCACGGGGCACAAAACGTGAAACCAAAACAATACAAATCACAAGACACAGGAACAAGAAAAGTCATACAAATGAAACACTAGGGAACAAAATACAAAAACAGAGGAGGTGGGATTCAAACGTGACGAAGGGGATTTGCAGGTAGCCACGTATTCAACACATTGAGCCTTGCGGCCGACAGGAAACAGGGGAAACACAAAGACTGACGAGGGACAGGATGACCAGCGATGCCTGCTGGCCAAACGGGGAAGGGACACAAAAGACTGAGACAACAGGAGCTTACACTCACCTTTAACATTGTGCATTATCCACGTGTTGTGAATTGTCCACAAACGTGTTGAGCATGTAGATATATTACAAATATTATGAAATGCAGGGCAGCAAGCAGCATGATATATGCATAGGCATCCTTTGACTTACATCCTATTGAGTAATGTCCCATCGCTTTTCAGTCTGTGATCCACAGTAAGTAATATACACTGATCGAGAGATCCCTGAAAGCAGACCCAATAGGATGATAGGGAATGTATGTCTTAGTGTAACAGGTGCAGGAGAATGGGCAGCATTGCCAATCATATAATAACCCACTGTCCATATCTAACTTGTAATACAGTATGCATATAGTAATGAATATGTGATGGGCAGCTACAATAAGCAGATATGATACAGATATATTACCTGTATCACACTATTTCACTACATGAAAAGAAACTTACTGTAGTGTACAATAAAATATTTTGCCACAGATTCAGATGCTGTCTTCTTTCTCAGCTCCTATTGGGTTGTTTGTCAAGCCTACAGACTGCATTTGGGTCATGCCTTACCCACAGACGTGACAATTGTATGCTACCTCTCACATCTCTTTTTATTATAAAGTGTTCTGATTTTTATATTTACTTTATAATTTGCTGTAGTGCATATTATAGTACTGTACTTAATGTCTTGCCTGTCTCCCATAACTGTCAAGATACATCCAAATTGACTTGCGTGGTCCTCATCCCAACTGCAGATACAAGTTTACATATTTTTACGCTGAATCTTCAAATTAATCCCCAGCCCTATGTATACATAGTGAAGGGCATTTTGATCCTAATATTTGAATGACAGCTAACATTCTGTTTTATTATGCTTTGCTTTATACTGTTTTAGTCAGTTGAAACATTACTTAGATGCACTATTGCCATATATGCTAATGGTGAGAACTAGACCTTTGCCCCAAATTCTGAAAACGTTATTCTTTGTCACTGCTGTGCTTCTTATTGTCAATGTTCTTATTGTCAATATTGCTTTTTTTTTTTCTTCTAATGTCCAATACAGAGACATAATGGGCAGTTCACTGTCATCCAGCTGATTGACTTTCTGCATGGGATCGCAGATGGTATGACATACCTGGCTGATCTTGGATATATCCACCAGGATCTGGCTGCCCGTAACATCCAAGTCAGCAGTAACCTGATCTGTAAAGTCGCTGACTTTGGCCTGTCACAAGTGCTGGGGGCTGGCCCAGATGCAGCCTACACCACTGCTGTGAGTTCTCAGAGCTTTACATCTAAACTGGAAACATATTTCCAATGCATTTCATATGACCAAGAATACACATAATGCATTTGCTGTATAAATTGATACGTGAGGCAACATCGTGTCATAACAGCACAATTATGTTCGTACTGTATGTGCATTTGCACTATTTTGACAAGAAATTAACATGAATTTTAATATTTATACCAGCGAAAATGCACAATAATTTCTTGTGATGACAGCGCAAATACACATAAAACTAGAAATACTGGATGGATCAAGTGAAAACATGAAAGCCAATAAAGGTGCTTTTACGCAGTAGAGTGAACTCGTTGTCATGTTCAAGAAACCAATCTGAGATTATGAGCTTTCTATCATGGCACGTTATCCTGCTAGAAGTAGCCATTAGAAGCTGAATACACTGTGGTCATATAAGGATAAACTTGGCTAGTAACAATACTCAGGTAGGTTGTGGCATTTCAATTATGCTAAATTGGTATTTGTGATGACCAGCGTTCCGCGAGCACGCAGGAAGCAGGGAAACACGAGTCGGGCAGACAATGATCCAAATATGGGGTTTTAACCCTTTGGGGTCTAGGGGTAGGAAACACACTTTCACTGACTGGGGCATGATCACACATTTCTTCAAATATCATAAACTTAATTCATGGCAAATAAATTATTTCTTATATATTTGTTTTGCTCATCTTTATTTTAATATATATTGTAAATATGTCAGATTTTTGTTAA